CGTTGTTCAGTGGGTGAGATAAACTCCCCCCTTCCCCTCCCCCTCCTCCTGCCCTAGCAGCTCTTTCCTGCCTAACATCCCTCCCCTCCCCCTAACCCCCTCAAGTGATACCATCCAGATGCTTTGGGGGTTTTGTTATTTGTCCCCAAGACTTCGTCTGTCCTTGCCCTTGGGTTTAGCTGGCACAAATGTCATTGGCTATTTGTTTTTATCTTTCCAGGCCAGGGTGATTTAAGCTATGTGTTTTCTGGTTAGAGAAGTTGTCTAGTGAGCTAGCCAGCTAGCAAGCTGCCCAAACTGTTTGGCTTTGTTTAATTTTCTTCTCTCAGTTTCCCCATTCCAGTTGCCTAGGAATTTTCCTAGCTTCTTACTATCCTGTCACATTTTCTTTCTTTCTTTCTTTCTTTCTTTCTTTCTTTCTTTCTTTCTTTCTTTCTTTCTTTCTTCTTCTTATTATTTTTAATATACTTATTGATTTCAGAGAGGAAAGAGAGGGAGAGACAGAGAGAAACATCAAAGATGAGAGCGAATCATTGATTGACTGCTTCCTACACGTCCCACACTGTGGATTGAGCCTGCAACCCAGGCATATGACCTGACCAGGAATCGAACCATAATCTCCTGGTTCATAGGTCAACTCTCAACCACTGAAGCATGCTAGCTGAACCATTTTCATTTCTTTCTTTTTTTAAAAATATTTATTTATTAATTTTTTCAGAGAGGAAGGGAGAGAGAGAGCTAGAAACATCGATGAGAGAGAAACATCGACCAGCTGCCTCCTGCACGCCCCCCCCCTACTGGGGATGTGCCCGCAACCAATGTACATGCTCTTGACCGGAATCGAACCTGGGACCTTTCAGTCCACAGACCGACGCTCTATCCACTGAGCCAAACCGGTTTCGGCAGCATTTTCATTTCTTGATAGTGTCCTTTGGAGCACAAAAGTTTGTTTTCCAAAAATATATACATTTTAGTGATTTTTTACAGAGAGGAAGGGAGAGGGATAGATTCAGAAACATTAATGAGAGAGAAACATTGAACAGCTGTCTCCTGCACACCCCCTACTGAGGATGTGCCTGCAACCAAGGTACATGCCCTTGATGGGAATCGAACCTGGGACCCAGGCCGACACTCTATCCACTGAGCCAAACTGACCAAGGTGAGCACAAAAGTTTTAAATTTTGATGAAGTTCAAGGTATTTCTTCTTTTGTTGCCTGTGCTTTTTGGTGTTAGAGCTAAGAAGCCATTGCCTAACTCAAGGCCATGGAGACTTATTTCTGTGTTTTCTAGGGAGTCTACCAGCACCTTATATTTAGGTCTATGATCCATGCACACTCATGTTTAAGAACCACTGGGTTAGGTTACGTTTTCTACCTATCATGGCTAACCTCTGTTCTTCCCAGACACAATCCAAACCCTAAGAACTTTTATGTCATTGGTTAGGATAATACAATAATAATAAAATAGTTAACAATGTGTATTGGGCACTTGCTACGCGCTAAGCATTTTACATTATGTAATCTTGCTCAATCTTTACTATATTGCCTAATCTTGCTCCATCTCCTCCATTTTTCAAGGTGTAATATACTTTGCCCTAAGATGACGTAACACATGCCTCCTCCTTTTATGTAAAAGGAAATAACAACACTTGTCTCAGCCTGTCAACAACCAGCACTGTAGCTGGGCCAGCCCTTGTGGTTCTCACTATGGTTTCAAGATACCTTTCAGCAATAACCATTAGGAAACTTTGAAAAGATAAGGTTTATTACTTACAAGACCTGCAAGACCTAAAAATTACACAGCACACCTGGGGCCACATCACAAGGTTAAGGGGAGAGAGAGCGCGCGTACACACACACTCACAGGTCACAGGCCTGGGTGGCTGTTTTCATTGGGCAGTGGCCCAGAGTTTGGAGGTGAATTGAAAACTTTCATGGGCTCACACTTTATTGGTGAATTTAAAAAGCAGGAATTTAAAGCCCCCGGAGAAAGCAAAATAAACAAGTAGCCCAAATGATGGTATTTAAATCAACCAATAGCTCTAAAACAAAGGAGCCTCAGTAAGGGGAGGCCATCTGGCTCTTAATCTAATTGTGTGCCGACAACGTGTTTATTCAAGATAGCTGTCTTTGAAGTGGATGCGTCGGCAATCAAAGCTTAAGATAGGTATTTGCGCAACATAAAAAAACCCCACACCCATGTCAAGGCTTACACTTCACATTTACATCGTTAGGAAAGAAGGCTGCACAGACTAAATGAGCAGACGTGCGTTAAGAGTATGGCACAGCGCTTAGCAGGGCTCAAAGGATGAGAGTGCTTTTCTTCCTCCATGAGCCCCTCCCACAACGGAGACCTGCTCCTCCCAATGGGCAAGAAGCTAACTGTCCCAGGGCTGATTTTTGCATTCTGCTAGCATCCTGTTCTTTCTTCCTTCTTTCATCACGGTTTGAGATTTTATTTCTATTTGTGTTATTCTTTTTAAAACAATATATTTGATTGATTTCTTTTTTTTTATGGAGAGGAAGGAAGAGGGATAGAGAGTTAGACACATCAAGAGAGAGAATCATCGATCAGCTGCCTCCTGCACACCTCCCAACCGAACGTGCCTACAACCAAGATACACGCCCTTGACCGGAATCAAACCCGGACCCTTCAGTCTGCAGGACGATGCTCTATCCACTAGCCAAACCAGTCAGGGCTGTGTTATTTTTAAAACTATCACATCTCTGCAACTGCTACATTCCATAAAAGCAAGAAATACAACTTTGTCATTGCAATATTCCCCAACTCCCAGTATAGCTTCTGGGGATGTAACGATCTTTAAATATATATACACTTTCTTGTTTAAAATTCTCCAAAGGCACATGCATATTGCACTTTGAATGAAACCCAAATTCCAACCATGGCGAACAGGTCCCTACCTGATTGGTTCCTATCTGCTTCTCCATCCACACCTTCTACTGTCTATCTTCTTTTTTTTCTGACTCGGAGTCTGTGGCCTCCAGCTTGGAAGCTCTGATTAATTTATCATCTTTTAGGTGTCAGCTTAAATGTCACCTCCTCTCAGAGCCTTCCCTGACCACCCTGCCCAGGGTTAATATTATCATTGTAATTAGTTAATATCAATAATAGGAAGAAAGCAAAGGGGAGGCCACACATAAGCATGGTCATCTTGGTGGCTTCTGCAGGAAGCTACAGCTTCAAGCTCCCCAGGGAACCAGTGGTCTATTCCCTGCAGATCAGTGGGGGAAGGGATCGAACACAGGGGGAGATGAGTGTATGGGCTGCAAAGTCTGGATGACATAGGAAGGCGCTTGCCTATCACTTTACCCGGGGAACAATGGGTTAGCTAGGGGGCAGACCCCATCAGAAAAGTGCAAAATCTTGGAAGGTCCTGGTTAAATCCCCAACGAAAAGTTCCCTTGTCTCTTGTTCTCCCTTGCTCCTGACCTGCACTCAGCGGCGTGCTCGCCTGCCGTGTGGGTTTAAGCAGCCTCATGGCCCGTGGCTGTGCAGACCCCACACACAATGGATTGCAGCTGGGAATACAAGCTAAACTAGCCAGTTGCTGGACTGGAGTGGACTTTTTTTTTTTTTTTTAAGAAAGCATATTGAGACTGGAAGGAGGGGCGGAGGCACTGAACAGGCTGATCTGACACTTACATGTGCTGTTTTTTGTTGTTGTTTTGTTTTGTTTTTATAAATATACTTTATTGATTTTTTACAGAGAGGAAGGGAGAGGGATAGAGAGTTAGAAACATGGATGAGAGAGAAACATCAATCAGCTGCCTCCTGCACACCCCCTACTGGGGATGTGCCCACAACCAAGGTACATGCCCTTGACTGAAATTGAACCTGGGACCTTTCAGTCCGCAGACCGACGCTCTATCCACTGAGCCAAACCGGTTTTGGCTGGAGCGGACTTTAATATGGAATAGAAATTCTGGGCTGCTGAAAACAAGACTGGACTTTTCCACAGTGGGACCTTGGAGAGGAACCTCCTTAACTTTGCACAATCAATAAAGCTTTTAACAAAACCCACTGGGGCCCTGGGAAATTCTTTTCCTCACAGCACCCGCTTCCATGGATAACATTACCACTCCCCTGCCACCAAGTTATTCTTCATCACACAACCTGTTTCATTTTGTTTACAGATCTGACATTTCTTCATATAGTTAATATTATTATAGCTAACATTTAAGCACTCACCACAAGCACTTTTCATACACTAATTAATGAAGTGGTGTGCTTCTGGATTCTTATCAAAGAGGCTCTCCAGACTATAAAACCCTGATTTGAAGTGTGTGCTCACTTCTGTGGTGTAAACACTCCCCTCAGGAGGGATTTCAAGCTACCAACCTGTTTTCAAAAGTGACTAGGAGAATTTCTAAGCATTCTTTAGTTGCTTCCAGCAGGCCATAGGAGCCAGTACATTTTTCAGATGAGAGATCTGAGGCACAGAAAGGTAAAGCAACTGGTTCCAGGCCGCAGGGCTAACAAACCTGTCTACGATGCCAAAATGTATCCTCAGAATCCAATACAGTGCCTGGGGATGGTTGTCGTTCATACACAATTGCAAGTACATGAATACTTAATAGTCCTTAAAAGCATAGAAGAGAAACATTTAAGCTTTAAAAACATAGACACCGCAAGAGCGAAACTAACATCTCTTTAAAATTCACTCACAGCCCCACGAAGATAAATTCCTAATTTGATTACTTTCAGCAGCACTTCAGCTCCTGAGCACTTTTACAATGCACCAACTGTCACAGGAGGCGTCGCCTAACCCTTCGCTACAAGCTTGACTCGCTCGGCTTTCCGTCGTCCCGCCCTGCCGGGACGACGCAAGGCTTCCTGGGAGTTGTAGTCTCCAGTCAGGTAATTGCAACGGCAGCGGCCGCCTGGCGCTCCGAACCGCGGAACTACACAGGTGGCGCACGGGCCGCGAGGCTCTTCCGCCTCGCCTTTCCCTCCCCGGCGGCGCGCCGCCCCAGCTATCATGGCGGCTCCCTTGGCCCTGGTGCTGGTGGTGGCTGTGACTGTGCGGGCGGCCTTGTTCCGCTCCAGTCTGGCCGAGTTCATCTCCGAGCGGGTGGAGGTGGTGTCCCCACTGAGCTCTTGGAAGAGAGGTGAGGCCCCGGCGCGAGGAGGCGGCGGGCCCTCCTGCGCTCGCTGCCCGGGCCTCTGAATGGGAGAGGGGCCGTGGCCGCGCGCGCCGCGCTCCGACCCGCTGGGCGCCCTCCGAGGGCGGGAGGGCGGGGCCCGCGGTCGCGTCCCCCGGGGCGGGGCGTGGGCTGCTGGGTGAGGCTGGGTCCGGGAGCGGGTCGCCTGCGGGATGAAGGGCTGAGGGGGTGTGTCCCACGGGGGCCTGGCGCCGGGGGAAGTGGTCTGAGGAGCGATGCTTAGGGGGCATGCAGGGTGGAGGGGAAATGGAGGGGGTTTGGGAGGTAGCCGGGATCTCCAGTGGTGCTCCCTGGAGTGTGGGACGGTGTGTGAGGGGCGGGGGAGGGGTATCCCAGGTGAGGTGTTCAGATGTCTACTCTCAGTCTAAGCTCGCAGTGCAGCTTCTCCTGCTGTTTCTTCCTCCTCCTCCCCCTCCTCCTCCCCTTCTTCCTCCTCCCACTCCTCCTCCCCCTCCTCCTCCTCCTCTTCCTCCTTCTCCTCCTTCTCCTCCTCCTCTTCTTCTTCTTCTTCTTCCTCCTCCTCCCCCTCCTCCTCCTCCTCCTCCTCCTCCTCCCCCTCCTCCTCCTCCACCTCCTCCTCCTCCTCCTCCTCCTCCTCCTCCTCCTCCTCCTCTTCCTCCTCCTCTTCTTCTTCTTCTTCTTCTTCTTCTTCTTCTTCTTCTTCAAAATCTTTATTGTTAAGATTATTACAGTTGTTACTCCTCCCTTCCCCCCCCCCAATAGCTCCCCTCCACCCGGTTCCCACCCCATACCATTACACCTCCACCCCGTCCATAGGTGCATGATTTTTTCTCTCTCTCTTTTTTTAAAAAATATATTTTATTGATTTTTTACGGAGAGGAAGAGAGGGAGACAGCCAGAAACATCGATGAGAGAAAAACATCGACCAGTTGCCTCTTGCACACCCCCTACCGGGGATGTGCCCACAACTAACGTACATGCCCTTGACCAGAATCGAACCCGGGACCTTTCAGTCCGCAGACGACGTTCTACCACTGAGCCAAACCGGTTTCGGCTAGGTGCATGATTTTTGTCCAATATCTTCCTGCACCCCACACACACCTCCCCCCAGTCCCCCCGAATTGTCAGTCCACTCCCTTTCTGTGCCCCTGATTCTATTATATTCAAGAGTTTATTCTGTTTGTCAGACTTTTTATTCACTTGATTTTTAGATTCATTTGTTAATAAATATGTATTTGTTTCACTTTATTGTTCATAACTTTTATTTTTACGTTTTTCTTCTTTCTCTTCTTAAAGAATACCCTACAGCATTTCATATATCGATACTAGTTTGGTGGTGATGAATTCCTTTTGCTTTTTCTTGTCTGTGAAGCTCTTTTTTTGATCTTCAATTCTGAATGATAGCTTTGCTGGGGAGAGTAATCTTGGTTGTAGGTTCTTGCTATTCATCACTTTGAATATTTCTTGCCACTCCCTTCTGGCCTGCATAGTTTCTGTTGAGAAATCAGCTGACAGTTGTATGGATACTCCCTTGTAGATAACTGTTTTTCTCTTGCTGCTTTTAATATTCTCTTTGTCTTTTGCTCTTGCCATTTTAATTATGATGTGTCTCAGGTATTTACTCTTGACTGGGAATTGAACCGTGGGTGCACAGGCATCCCTCTAACCACCGAGCCACACTGGCCAGGGCAATCCCATAAACATTTTGGAATGGGAAATGGTATAATAAATGAATGTTTAAGAATATTAGAGCCGAAACCGGTTTGGCTCAATGGATAGAGCGTCGGCTTGGGGACTGAAGGGTCCCGCGTTCCATTCCGGTCAAGGGCATGTACCTTGGTTGCGGGCATATCCCCAGTAGGGGGTGTGCAAGAGGCAGCTGATCGATGACTCTCTCTCATCGATGTTTCTAACTCTCTATCTTTCTCCCTTCCTCTCTGTACAAAATCAATAAAAAAAAAAAAAAAAAAAAAAAAAAAAAGGATATTAGAGCCCAGTCATTGTGGCTTAGTGGTTGAGCATCGACCTGTGAACAAGAAGGTGATGGTTGAATTCCAGTCAGGGCATGGGCTTAATCTTCAATGGGGGTGTGCAGGAGGCAGCTGATCAGTGATTCTCTCTCATCATTGATGTATCTATCTCCCTCTCTGCTCCTCTCTGAAATAAATAAAAATAATTTTTCTTTAAAAAATAATAATTAGAGCTAAGAGTTCTAAAAGTACTATATATAATTGACTGACATATTTCTCTTAGCATGATATGCTCCAGGAACCTCCATGCTGTCTCAAAGGGTAAAATATTCTTTTTTTACTGCTGCATGGTATTCCTTGGTAATAAATGTACCACAACTTTTTCATCCACTCGTCTACTGATGGGCACTTGGGTTGTTTCCAGATCTTAGCTATTGTAAATTGTGCTGCTATGAACATAGAGGTGCATATATTCTTTCTGATTGGTGTTTTGGGTTTCTTAGAATATATTCCTAGAAGTAGGATCACTGGGTCAAATGGCAGCTCCATATTTAATATTTTGAGGAAACTCCAAACTGTTTTTCATAATGGCTGCACCAGTCTGCATTCCCACTAGCAGTGTAGTAGGGTTCCCTTTTTTTCAACATCCTTATCAACACTTGTCATTTGTTGATTTGTTGATGGTAGCCATTATAGTATCACATAATCTCACTCATGTGGAATCTAATTAACAAAATAAATTGATGAATGGAGTGGATCTGGAGACATGGAAGCATGGAACAGAGTGCAGAATCTCGGAGGGAAGGTGGGGGATGGTGGATAGGTAGGAGGTAATCAACCAAAGACCTTGTATGCGTGTATGTATAACTGACAGGGTGGTGAAGGCCTGGGGCAGGGGGTGGGGGCGAGCTTGAAGGGGGGTCAATGAAGGAAAAACCAGGAATATATGTAATACTTTCAACAATAGAGATTTTTTAAAAAAATGTATTTTATTGATTTCTTACAGAGAGGAGGGGAGAGGAATAGAGAATTAGAAACATCTGTGAGAGAGAAACATTAATCAGCTGCCTCCTGCACACCCCCGACTGGGAATGTACCCGCAACCAAGGTACATGCCCTTGACTGGAATCAAACCTGGGACCCTTCAGTCTGCATAGCGACGCTCTATCCATTGAGCTAAATCAGTCAGAACAACAATAGAGATTTTTAAAATAAGTAAATAAATAAAAACATTGTATATTAGAGATTATGATAAGCCTGATTTTATCCTCCAGTAACTCTCTGTTAGATGGTGTTATTTTCCTCATTTGACAGTTGAGGAAACTGAGATTTAATGAAGATAAATAATTTGTCCCAGTTCTCCAGTTGACAAATTGTAATAAAGATAGTAGTAATTCACATGTGTGATGGTAAGAACTTAGATTTGATATCTCTGCATATAATATTTGTGTATGATATTTTGTTGAAGCCATTGGGTTCCTGCTTTCTTCTGGATAGCAGAAGACCCAAGGCAGTATTAGGCCCTCCTTCCTCTGCTCTCTTTATACATATCTTTATTAAGAGCATTTATTTTTTTACTTTATATTTTTATTGATTTCAGAGAAGAAGGGAAGAGAGAGAGATGGAAACATTAATGATGAGAGAGAATCGTTGATCAGCTGCGTCCTGCACGCCCCACACTGGGGATCGAGCCCACAACCCAGGCACGTGCCCTGACCAGGAATTGAACCATGACCTCCTGGTTCATAGGTCTACTCTCAACCCTTGAGCCATGCCGGTTGGGCTTAAGAGCATTTCTCATTTTACATCATAATTCTATATTTATACCTAGTTTCTCTACTGTAATATGAGTTCCTTGAAGGTTAGAGTCATCCCTGAATTCTTTGTGTCTGGCATAGAGTAATTGCATAGTTAACTTATTGAACAAACTAGAGGCCTGATGTCTGAAAATTCATGCACTGGATGGGGGTTCCTTCAGTCTGGCCTGTCCCCCCTCAGTCTGGGAGCCCTCAGGATGGGAGGTGACCTTGCCATCAGGGGAAGGTGATGCCCCCATCACACCTCTGCTGCTGCCACTGCCAGCAGCGCAAGCCTCAGCTGGCCCTGGTTACCTAAACCTTGGGTGGCCCTAGGTGGCTGGGCAGCTGACTTTTGAGGCTTGCCAGCACCTCGGGCCTGCCCTGGGTGACTGGGCAGCCACCATCCAGAGGTTTGTCTGCGCCTTAGGCCGGCACTGGGTGGCTGGGGGGCTGAGGAGATTGGAGCACTCCAGAGGCAGGTGCACGGCAAAGCTGGGCCCACTCGGGAGCAGGCCCGGCCTTGCCGTGCACCTGCTGCCTCAGCGGGGCTAAGGAGACTGGGCGTTGCCGTCCTTGAGGGCGTGGCGGCAATTAGCATATTCCCTCCTTATTGGCTGTGGGTGATGCCAACTTTGCAATGGTGTGAGGGTCAGTTAGCATATTCCCTCTTTATTAGATAGGATATTGAAGAAAAGAAACTATAACATCTGATTGCTTATAGGATTGACAGGGTGAGGGATCCAAGATGAAGCAATGTAGTATGGCCCTTAAGAGCACAGGGTCTGGAATCTTAAAGAGGGTTTGAGTCCCTCTCTGCCTCTGCCACTTACTATCTGTGTGATCTCCAACATCAGCTTTCTCATTTATGAAATCGGAAGTTATAATATGTACCCATTAAATGAGATGATTCATGTTGAAGTTCTTAGCACAGTAATGAAAGTCAAAATGGCTAATTCTAAGATTTTGAGTTTTAATAATAGGAAGAATAGTGATGATACTGGCTGAAATAAGTGAGTCAGAAACGATAGCAGTGTCATAATTAATTTAAATAAATCTCTATTAATGGACATTGAGATTATTTTTAATTTTTCCCCCACTCTTGAGCATGATAATTCTTCTTTGAATAAATTGCCCTATTTTAAGAACAATAATTTCTGAGTCAAAAAACATACACTGAAAACATACATATTGCCTAGAAGAAAAACTAATGCAAATGTCAAACAAAGCACGCATTAGAGTGATTGCTCATTTCCCCACCTATGAGCAATATTTCTCACCAGCTTCCAATTTATTATCTTACTGTGTTTTGGAATGGAGCAGAATATACATAGGTGGAACACTTTAGAGTAGGTGGGAGTTACAAGGAGATCAAAGGAAATTTATAGTTTAATATAAAATGTTCCCATAATGAGTGGTTTGCCACATGGGTAAGGAATACTCTATGGAAGAAAACTCCCCATTATCAGAAATGTTCAAATTAAGACTTAGACCCACTTTCTGGGAATAAGGTTAAGGAGATTTGATAAACTATAAGACCTTTTTTGTCCTGGGAGTATCTGACACTGGCTCATGGCCATCTGCATGTGTCTTTGAAGTAAGAATGAACTTGGATGTCTTACTTTTCAGTGGTTGAAGGCCTCGCACTGTTGGACTTGGGAGTGTCCCCATATTCAGGAGCAGTATTTCATGAAGTAAGTGTTCCTGTTTTCTTTTATGGGTATTAAGAGTAATTTATAGCCACAGATACCAAAACCTAGCCTCTAGTTAGTACAGACATTTTAAAAAATCTATTTTTGAAAATCATATTTAGAAATAGCCCTTTTTCATATGTCTGTATAAGAAGTTTTCATGCCGAAACCGGTTTGGCTCAGTGGATAGAGCGTCGGTTTGCGGACTAAAAGGCCCCAGGTTCGATTCCGGTCACAGGCACGTACTTTGGTTGCGGGCACATCCCCGGTAGGGGGTGTGCAAGAGGCAGCTGGTCGATGTTTCTCTCTCATCGACATTTCTAGCTCTCTATCTCTCTCTCTTCCTCTCTGTAAAAAATCAATAAAATATATATATTTTTTTTAAAAGAAAGAAGTTTTCATGCCCTGACCAGTTTGGCTCAGTGGATAGAGCATCAGCCTGCGGACTCAAGGGTCTGAGGTTTGATTCTGGTCAAGGCCATGTACCTTGGTTGCAGGCACATACCCAGTGGGGAGTGTGCAGGAGGCAGCTGATTGATGTTTCTCTCTCATCAATGTTTCTAACTCTCTATCCCTCTCAATGAGATGAAAGGAATAAAATAAAAAATAAATGTTTGGGAACAAGTTGTATGGGCATACCAAAGAGTAGCCCAATAGCCAGTTTCTACTTCTACTTCTTTCATTTTGCTTACTTTGAATTTACCTTATTTTTCTAGTCTCTTGAGATAGCATGAAGGTCATTCATTTGAGACCTTTCTTTTCTCATATAGGCATAAATATTTATATTTTATTACTTCAAGATAATAAAATACAGCTGGCTATCGATTTATGAATACCCAGCTTATAAGAAAATTAACACATAATCATGAAATGTCCCCTAAAGATTTCCAACTTTTGGTATTCATTTGGTATTCAATACAAAAATTAATATCTGCATATTTAGTTGCTACTGGGTATAATCCAATGGATCAATGAAACATTGATGAAAGAGAAACATTGATCTTGAAGTAATAAAATATAAATAAATAAAATTATGTCAAGCCAAATGAAAAGAATACTTTTGAAAAGAAAGTTCATCATTGCTTTGCATTGAAATCTTCAACAGACTTTAAAATATAATTCTTAGGGAAAGGTAAGAATAGGTGAAAGTGGAGAAGGAAAATCTGTAAATTACGAATTTAACAACCTTGATTGGGAGTGTAGTTGAAAAGTGTATAATTGTAGCCAAAACAGGTTTGGCTCAGTGGCTAGAGTGTCGGTCTGCGGACTGAAAGGTCCCAGGTTTGATTCTGGTCAAGGGCATGTACTTTGGTTGCGGGCACATCCCCAGTAGGGGGTGTACAAGAGGCAGCTGGTCAGTGTTTCTCTCTCATCAATGTTTCTAACTCTCTAACCCTCTCTTCCTCTCTGTAAAAAAAAAAAATCAATAAAATATGTTAAAAAAAGAAAGAAAGTGTATAGTGTATCTCTATAATCCTAATATATAAAAACCCAGGGTTCGTAATGACTGACTGAAGGCTCAACTGAACCCTGGTAGTCAGCCCTGCAGTCAGTGCTGAGTTGCTGTGGTGACCTAGCACTGACTGCTGCCCGTGTGGGTGTGGTGCGGGTGTGTTGACCCAGCACTGACTGCTAAAGGGCTGTGGATCAGGCCCGGAGAGAGGACTGAAGAGAGAGGCAAGTTCTGATCTGCAGCCTCTGTTGCCTCTCTGTTTCTCTCCGGGCTTCACTAGCAACCATGCCTCTGTTTCTCTCAGGGCCTCTGTAGGGGCTGCTGATCAGCCCCACCTCTCTGATCAGGTCCAGAGATAGGCCTGGAGACACTGACTGGTATAGAAATGGACCAATCAAAACCAAATCTGGGTGAACTGTGAGGATCCAATGGCTGCCTATGAGGCGGAGCTTTTGATGATGAATGGCATAGAAACTGACCAATCAAAAACAAATCTTTGTGAACTGTGAGGAGCTAATGGCTGCCTAGGAGGCGGAACTTTTGATGCTGAGTCACATAGAAACTGACCAATCAGAACCAAATTGGCCGGCATGGGAGGGAAGCTTAGGGCGAGATCAGGCCAGCAGGTGAGGGTGATCAGCAGGCAGAGGCAGTTGGGGATGAGATTGGGCCAGCAGGAGGAGGGCCTTTGGGGTGAAATCAGGCCAGCAGGGGAGGGCAGTTGGGGGTGAGATCAGGCTGGCAAGCGAGGGCCATTGGGGGAGAGAATAGGACAGCAGGGGAGAGCAGTAGGGATCAGGCCTATACTGGCAGTCGGACATCCCCCAAGGGGTCCCCAATTGGAGAGGGTGCCGGCTGGCCTGAGGAAATCCCCCCTTTGGCACAAATTTCATGCACCGGGCCACTAGTAGTATTATATGCAATTAAACTACTGCATATATGTTAGTTCATTATAGAAACCAGCCCATTTACTGATAGGCTTTTTGAGAGCTACCGGTATTTGTTCTGATATTTCTGAGACTAATTTAGAGCCATTCTAAACTATCTGAAGCATCAAAACACTTTGAAAGGAGGCTATTGGTAATATAAATATCAAGTTACTACTTTTTACTAACAAAGATAAATGGAGAAAAAAGAATCCATTAGTAGATAGTTGTAAAAGCTTAATTCTTTTAGAACTTTGAAAGGCAAAGCTGATGCCCCCATTTTCAAAAAGAGGTAAAAAGTTTATCTCAGGCAGCTAATATATTGAGGTTTACTGTGTGATAAGAACTTTGTGCAAATTACACTCCATCCTTCCAAGAACCCGATGAAATAGGTCACTATTCTTATTTTATAGCTGAGGAAACTAAGGCTCAGAGGGGAAACAGCATGTCCAGAGGTACACAGGTGAAACCTGATTTTAATATACTTTTATTGATTTCAGAGAGGAAGAGAGAGAGAAAGAGATGGAAACATCAACGATGAGAGAGAATCATTGATCAGCTGCCTCCTGCATGCCCCGCCTTGGGGATTAACCCTGGAGCCTGGGCATGTGCCCCTCAGTCCTCAGGCCAATACTTTATCCACAGAGCCAAACCAGCTAGTGGAACCTGGTTTTAAACCTGCGTCTGATTCCAAAGCTAGCTTGTTCTCACTACAAGCCTGTCGATGACCTTTACAGTATCATAGGACACATTTTTGTGTGTGGTTGGCTTTAGGAAGAGGCCTCCTGAGTCACCAGCATGGACTCACTAAAACCAAGTCATGCACTTTCCTATTACAGTAGCAGACCAACCCTCCACGCTAGAACAGTTAGAAAAGCATGATGAATACAAAAGACATTTGCTTGAAGACACTGGAAAGTACCAAGATAGCCAAGATTCAAGAGGCTGAGGCCCCAGAGAAGAAAGTACAAAAATGTGAGACTGTGACATTCTGAGCTGCTTTCTCCTTGATGCATTTACCAATTTATGAGAGGTACAGGCTAAGAGGCAGAAATACAGAACAGAAATTAGCTGGTAAAAAGTTAAGGAGTTATTGGCGATCTTATGGTGCTCCGGAAATATGAATTTGAGTGCATGGTTAACCAAGGTGGCAAGACTTGGCTTTCATTAGGAACCTCTGAAGGACTATACTCATGAAGGGTAGATATTATTATAGACTAGTAGCCTGCTGCATAAAATTCATGCATGGAGGGGGCCATTCCCTCAGCCCAGTCTGCATGCTCTCCAATCGGGGACCCCTTGGGGCCTGATCTCGCCCCCAACTGCCTTCTCCTGCCAGCCTGATCTTGCCCCCACTACCCTCCCCTGCCAGCCTGATCTTGTCCCCAAAGGCCCTCCCCTGCTGGCTTCATCTCGCCCCCAACAGCTCTTTCCTGCTGGTCTGGTTGCCCCCAACTGCCCTCCCCTGCTGGCCTGATCTTGCCCCCAACTGCCCTCCTTTGCTGGCCAATTTTGTTTTGATTGGCCAGTTTCTATGCCACTCCATGTCAAAAGCTCTGCTTCCTAGGCAGCCATTGGCTCCTCACAGTTGACCCAGATTTGGTTCTGATTGTCCAGTTTCTTTCTTTCTTTCTTTCTTTCTTTCTTTCTTTCTTTCTTTCTTTCTTTCTTTCTTTCTTTCTTTCTTTCTAAAAAAATATATTTTATTGATTTTTTACGTAGAGGAAGGGAGAGCTATAGAGAGCTAGAAATGTCGATGAGAGAGAAACATCGACCAGCTGCCTCTTGCACACCCCCTACTGGGGATGTGCCCGCAACCAACGTACATGCCCTTGACCAGAATCGAACCTGGGACCTTTCAGTCCATAGACCAACGCTCTACCACTGAGCCAAACCGGTTTCGGCAAGATTGGCCAGTTTCTATGCCAGTCAGTGTCTCTAGGCCTATTAACAGGGCCTTATCAGACAGACAGGGCTGCTGGCCAGCCTCAGAGGGAAAGGGAGAGGCAAGTGCTGATCAAAAGCTGCCACAGACGCTACAGATCAGTCCCTGCTTCTCTCTTCAGGTCTCTTTCCAGGCCTGATTCAAACCCCGCTCAACAGTAACTGCTGGGTCCCCGGGCCTGCAGCCACAGTAGTCAGCCCTTTATTCAATTCAGCAGATATTCCTAGTGGCACAAAATTATCCAGTGATACAAAATGATTCTCCCTCATATGTACACTGGTCAACTAGCATAGAACAGCATTCTAGGAAAGAAAGACATTGTTCCTGACAGGATAGCTTCTAACCCCACCCCTTCCTATGGACACTGATAATAGTAAGATTTAAATTAATTTGCTTGTTTATTTTTCTCCTGCAGACTCCATTAATAATATACCTCTTTCATTTCCTGATTGACTATGCTGAATTGGTATTTATGGTAAGCAACCTTCCACATAAAATGAATATGTATATATTTTAAATTTTATTGTCTTTAATCTTCTTGTTTTTAAGAAAATAATATATTTTAGGAGCTCAGGAGTTTCTTAGAATATAAAAGCAAAAACCTATTTTTTAATTTGGATTCATGGAACTGTAATTGTACATTTGACCCTTGAACAATAGGGGGTTAATGGTGCCAACCCCCCACACTGTTGTCACCTGGTATCCAGGGGTATTGGTTCCAGGACAACCTCTTCCCTTTTCCCCGTCACCCCATGGATATAAAAAAAGTCCTTGGGTGCCCAAGTCCCCTAAATAAAATGATATTGAACAATGCATATAGTTGGCTTTATGCATCTGTGGACTCCCAACCCTGTATGGAAAACAGTACAAATATTTACTGAAAAATATCAGTATATAAGTTGACCTATGCAGTTCAAACCCAGGATGTTCAAGATCAACTGTGTTATGGAATTATGAAGAGTAGTTTATGGCATATGACCAGTTCTAATTGCTTATGTTTTTAAAATTTCATATGTGAACTATGCAGCCTTGAATTTTCTAGCTCCAGGATTCTATGATTGGCTTTCATTATGGTGCCAATGCTGAGGATATCCTTATTTCCTAAGCATTCTGCCAAGAGATTCTGTGACAAGGACTTAGGCCTGGTGAGACTTTCAGGGGCAAGAAATTGGGAAGACAGGGCTATGTTTTGAGAGCATAGTAATTTGAAACACTTGATTAATATAGGGTTGAAAAATCTGGGTAAAATAGGAGGACCACTGAGCTCTTCCTTAATTATTATGAGTGCGGTTTATCGCAGACTTACTCTGGTCTAGGCACTTGACGTACATTAGGCTACAAAGCAGGGGGTATTATTTCCGCTTTACAGAAAACTCAGTAAGTTGGAATTATAAAGCAAGTTCTCCGGTCATACCTCCCTGAACAGGCTTTCTCTTTGGGTAGTCAGAGTGAGGGCTGAGGTTCTGCTTGACTTTAAGAAGTCAGTACTGGATAGTCCACTGCCTTCCACAAACTTCAGACCCTTGTAGCATTCCTTTACTCCCACACTAATTGGGTTCATTTCCTGTTACTATTCTTTCTCTTAACAGATAACTGATGCACTCACTGCCATTGCCCTGTATTTTGCAATCCAGGACTTCAATAAAGTTGTGGTGAGTAGTCAGTGTGTTGGACAAAACTTATAGAATCTGGTAACCTGCTGGTATCTGTTATTAAGAAGATCAAAGGTCATGCATGTACTTAAGGATACAACATGTTTTAAGACACTAAGATGTGGGAGTGCAGCTTCTGGCTTGTTCAGCCAGTCCTGGAATAGCTGAACAAGACAACTTTATAATAGATACAGAAAGATTCGTTTAATCTTTGTAGCTTAATATCCTCTTACCTGTGCCAGTTCAGATGTTTTGGAGCAAGTGGAATTGAACAACAGTTATATTAATAAGGACCCTTAAAAATTATTCTGTATCTTTCACCAGTTTTGTTTTTTTACAGAGGAAAATTAATACAGCTTTTAACTCACTGTGTTATGTCTATCTGAGGTAAAATCAGATTCCCAGTGAAGCTTCTATTTCTCTGCAGAGAGCAATCTTAATTGGGAAAATTGGCATATATTAAACACCTGTTGAAAGTGTTGATGCAAACTTTAGTTTTAATCCATATGTAATAGCCAAGGAGAATTGTATAGTGGGACTATTTTCATTTTCCTTGGTTCTGAGAGAGTTAACAGATTAACCATGTGTACTATCTATGTAGTTATTTTAAAAATTGGCTGCAGTCCTCCTTGATTGGCTGAGAGCCACTGAGATTTAGACCAGGGTGAGAGAAGGCTGCATCCCATTAGTGTTGTCTGTCTGTAGTTCATTTTCACTTCTGTTACCAAGTAATAGAACCAGAAATAGCAGTCTGCCTTTCTATAGCACTGTCATCAGTATCAAATGAAGCGGTGAATTACAGAATTTTAGACCTCAAAGAGACTGTTAAAATATCTAGACTGAGAATTTTTTACTTGGGGTCCCTTATTAGGTCTATGAAACCCTTGAGGTGGTATGAAAATTTGTATTTGTATGTGGATATGTCATTTTTTTTCATGTGGAGAGTTCATAATTGTTAACAGTGCTCAAAGAGTTAATTCCTACCCTAAATGATTAAGAACTACATTTTAGATACTTGTTAACAATTAGAGGCCTGGTGCACAAATTTATGCACAAAGGAGGGGTATGTCCCTCAACATGCACTGCCTCCAATCTGGGACCCCTCGAGGGATGCCTGATTGCCCGTTTAGGAGGGATCGGGCCTAAACAGGCAGTCAGACATCCTTCTCACAATCCAGGACTGCTGGCTCCCAACTGCTCGCCTGCCTGCTTCCCTGCCTGCCTGATCACCCCCTTACCACTCCCCTGCCAGCCTGATTGACGCCTAACTGCTCCCCTGCAGGCCTAGTCCCCCGAACTGCCCTCCCTTGCAAGCCTGGTCCCTCCCAACTTCCCTCCTCTACAGGCCTGGTCCCCACCTGCCAGCCCAGTCACCCCTAACTGCTCTCCCTTGCAGGCCTGGTCCCTCTCATCTGCCCTCCTCTGCAGGCCTGGTCCCCTCAACTGTATGTGTGTGAATTGAATCATAACCTCCTGGTTCATAGGTTGATGCTCAACCAGTGAGCTACACGGACTGGGCGAGTTCACTAGTTTATGTGACAGAAAATTCAAGGAGAATATTTTTGGCTTCATGCATCAATAATTTTTCTTTCTTTATTTTTAAAAAAATATATTTTATTGATTTTTTACAGAGAGGAAGGGAGAGGGATAGAGAGCTAGAAACGTCAGTGAGAGAGAAACTTCGACCAGCTGCCTCCTGCAAACCCCCTACCGAGGATATGCCCACAACAAATGTACATGCCCTTTACCGGAATCGAACCTGGGACCTTTCATTCCGCAGACCGATGCTCTATCCACTGAGTCAAACCAGTTTTGGCAATAACTTGTTTCCTAATTTATATGGAAACAGATAGAGATTTTTAATTTTTTTTCTGTGTGATTTAAAGAGGGAAACCAAAACCCAAATGAGCTAATTGTCACTACCTTGTTTTTAGCACACCAAGACATTCTGTTATCATTGGCACTGACTTAAATTTTAGAATACCACATTTTCTGGAGTATAAAATGACCGGGCATATAAGATGACCCCCTAATTTTACAGTTAAAACATAGGTTTAGGCCTATATTCGCTGTATAAGACTACCCCCCACTTCCGAGGCAACACCAGTTCTTTTTTTTTAAAAGACCACCACTATGACTGGCCAATCTGAGCAGGCTTTTTACTAGAACACAGTGTAGCTTCGGGTACAGAACATGTATAATTTGCATGCATAAAAAGCCTGCTTGGATTGGCTGAGTTAGAGAGGCAGTCCGAGCAGCCTTGCAGTGATTGGTGCGGGATCGGGTTGGAAAATTCATTTAGCGGCATAGCCAGACGATTTTCGGGATCGAGATGTTTTTCGGGACATACCCGGCGTATAAGACGACCCCCAATTTTCGGTTGACTTTTTTTTTTCCATTTCAAAAGTCGTCTTATACGCCGGAAAATATGGTAGTTTTGTTTCTTCATCCTCAGAATTCAGCTTATAGGAACATTTGGTTATGTGGTCAGAATAAGAATTTCATTTAAACTATGTCAAAAATTGCCCTATCCAGTTTGGCTCATTGGGTAGAGCATCCATCGGCCTGCAGACTGAAGGGTCCCAGGTTCCATTCCAGTCTAGAGCACATGCCCGGGTTGCAGGCTCTTACCCCAGTAGGAGGCATGCAAGAGGTAGCCAATCAAGGATTCTTTCTCATCATTGATGTTTCTATCTCTCTCTTCTGTCCCTCTCTGAAATTAATAAAAATATATTTCAAAAAATAAACTGTGTTAAAAATTAACTCATTCTAAATGGCAGATTTTTTGATGATACTAATAAACTATGGTTGGTTTAGATAGAGTATTGGCACATGTCTTCCTCCAAATCTTCCCCACTTTTTCAGAATGAGCCCTTATCATACTTCCGGCAAAACTGAATTGCTCCTATAGGAACTCCCTATGTTTCCTGGATCTCACACCCTTCAGGTGGCCTTCTTTGTGCCACAGAACTCCAGAATCCTTAGCTAGAGAGGGCTCAGTCCTCCCATTGCTTCTGCAGCTGTCCTCGGTGCTCTCTGATTGCTGAGCTAGCCACCTTTTCTTTGATTAAAAACTCCGTAGTCTATATTTTGTCCGTTTAATTAAACAAACCCAACTGTGCATGGCAGCATAAGTTTTTTTGTTGTTGTTGTTTTTTTTTCCTAGTTTATTTTTTTTAATTTTTTTTTAAATTAATCTTTATTGTTCATATTATTACAAAGGTTCCTCATTTCTTCCCCCCTCCACCAGGTTCCCACCCCACCCTCCGCCCCCTCCCCATCCCCCATTGTCCTCATCCATAGGTGCACAGTTTATGATCAGTCTCTTCTTCCCTCCCTTTCCCCAATAGTAAATCCCTTTTCAGGTAGTAAATCAGTTACTTAGCATTTTCTCAAATCAATAATACCTCCACATGCCCAATGATACACTTCACACAAAAGACATTTCCCAATAGGTCCACCAGCATGGCAGCATAAGTTTTACTGATGATAATTCCTACAACTTAACTTGGACTCTCAGAGATGATCAAAGAGAGGTTTTTTGAAGTTTGAAGTTTGTTCAGTTTTTCTGATTATGCCTCTAGCTTAAGTTATATAAGAAATCTGGGGTTACTTGTATTCCTGTGATGATTCCTTTGAATTTCTTTTGAACTGAAAGATGATTTTTTTTTTTACTTAAAATTTTAAATTATTAATACCTAAGATATGAGGAAATATATAAAGAATAATACACTCAGCTGGCATGGCTCAGTGGTTGAACATCAACCTATGGTTTGATTCACGGTAAGTGCATATGCCCTGGTTGTGGGCTTGATCCCCAGTGTGGGGCATTCAGGAGGCAGCTGATCAGTGATCCTCTGTCATCACTGACGTTTCTATCTCTCTTCCTCTCTCTTCTTCTCATTAATCAATAAAATATATTTTAAAAATACATGCTATGAATCTATTTTGGCTTAAAAAATAAAACATTACACATATAGTTGCTTCTCTCTATACTTTCATCTCCTTACTCCCCCTCTCACCAGTTACCACTGTTCTGACTTCTGCATTTATTATTTCTACACATGGCCGTGTAATATCCCTAAATCACATGTAGTGGTTTTTTTTTCATGCTTTTAACTTTATATAAATGGTACAGTGCAGTATATATTCTGTTGTCACCTGTCATTTTTATCATTAAATCTTTACTCACATAGTTAAGTGCTAGCTACTTTGGCTGCTCTGAATTACTGTATTTTATAATAGGTTGCAGCATTGATTTTATATGGTCTAAATAAGATTCTCTGATCATTAAATGAGCAAGGCTACCCATTTTGGGTTCAAAGATTTTTTCCATCTATAGTCTGACCCATGTTTACTTCTAAGGTTGCCTAACTCTTTTTCATTCTGGAACACACCTGTGAACTTGTTGGGACATACAAGCTTTCCACCCCCATCTCACTCCCTCTTACCCATCCAGCTGCCTAGCCACGCCCAGCCACGCCCAGCCCTCTTTCTCTTCATCCTGGCCATTCCCCACTTCCTCTTTGGAAGTCAACAACTTGAAACAAGAGAGCACAGAAGAAAACTCAGGATACTGTGACATTCAAGGGACCATTTCACTTTGCATGAAAACATTTTACTTTGCTGATGGGACTTTGCAGTCTTTAGGCCACTGATAATGACTTCAGAATGAATAAGAACTTTGCTTTGCCACCTAGTCATTCATATAACCATCCAACAGGTATTTATCCTTTGGTCACTGTGCCAGGTATTGGCCATAAACACTGTCCCTACCCTGTGGAACTTATAGTCTAGTGAGGGAACCACATGTTAGTCACATACATTTTTAAGAAAGTTATAACTGTGAACAGTGCTATGAAACAATGTGCGTAATGGGGAGATTTTACCCAATCGAGGTGGGGGTGAATGTGCCTCGCTGAGAAAGAGATTATTTTACTCAGGTCTACGTGGAGTTCACTAGGGTAAGAGAAGAGGTTGTTCCAGGTTAAATGTAAAGAAAGGCCTGGGAGCAGGAGGGCCTGGTATGCTCATCATATTTGAACTCAGAAAGTGAGAGGTGTGGGGAGTGGGCATGAGATGCGCCTGGAGAGGTGGGGCCACGTGGGTTGTGGCAGGACTTTTGTTTTCATCCTAAAAGCAACAGAAAGTAATTTGTTTCATGTGTTTTGTCATTCTTTCCAGTTTAAAAAGCAGAAACTCCTCCTTGAACTAGACCAGTATGCCCCAGATGTGGCCGAACTCATCCGAACGCCAATGGAAATGCGTCACATCCCTCTGAAAGTCGCCCTGTTGTAAGTATTCTCTGACAAAACAGGCTCAGTGCCAGCAAATGCGAGGAAAATCTGATGAGACTTTCTCATGTTGTTTGTTGTATTTTTGGAGATTTGCAGTCTTAGTCATCAAGTATTTGCTGTAGTTCTGTTGCACAACTGGGGTTCTGGCCAGCAAAAGAGACAGAGCCATTCTTTCTCTGTTGGGACAAAGCCTCATACAGGAACATGCACAATCCACCCTTCACAGATTCTTTTTCACTCCACGCTGATCCGAGCTCTAGCCTACTTGTAACCACTGTTTGTTTCTTTAAAAAAGAAAAAAAAAAAAAAAAAAAAAGATCCTTCTTCAGTTGTAATATGTGAATTAAATAAAATTCTGGTCTTTATGTGGTTGTTGTTTTCAGCACCTTTTATTCTTCATGTACAAGTTAGCCCCCCATTTGTCAGAAAACAAGTACAGTTCCAAACAGACCCATCCCAGATGCCTAAAAGGGTGACCAGTATGGGAGAGTGAAACTACGGAGGCTCTGTGAAAGAATGCCTTCGGAGTATTCGGTGCTGTCAGTAAGATTAATTCTTTCAGGTTATTCCCGTTTATATTCCTGAGATAGGCAAATGTGAATAATTATTCCATCAACTAATAGTCATTGAATATTAATAATATACTAGTTTTAGGGATACACATTAAACAAGTCAGACAAGTTTCCTCATGGAAAAACATGACCTTAGAACTTTAGAATTAGAAGGAGCCTTCTGAGGACAGTTTATTCAACCCTCCGCCTGTGTGTGCATCTCCTGTCCAGTGGTCCAGAGAACTGGCTGTGTAGCTGCCTCTTAAACATCATCTTCTGCTTAGAAATGGTTCCCTCCCACCACCACCAGTTTTGAGGTATCAGTTCATATCTATGTATCTTAGAAATATTGCTGGGAACTATTTAATAGAACCAGAGGTTTAGGGACACTATTAGTCCCTTATGGATTAATATGTCTCCTGAGGGTAGTTTTGTAATAGCAGCAGCCATTTCTTTAAAGGTTGTGTAATAAACCTATCTGTCATTGCTGGAAAAACACACACCAACAATTTCTAGGCCTTTGTCTTTAGAACTGCTAGTGTTACAGCCCTGGGAGGTATTGGATTTAAGGTCTTTATTTGTAAATAATAATTATAATCTCCCTGAGACACTGGTATGTTTCTTCCTATCTGATAATCAGAATTATGTAACTGGTCTCCCTTTTCACACAGTCTGCCAGGAAACGCAGAGCCAGATTTGAAGCTGATTATTATGGTGCTGTAGAAGACAAATTGGGTCTTCTTTCCCTGGCCTTCACTTTCTCCTTTTATTCATGTTTTCCCTGGTCTTGTTTCTTTATTTCTGTTTTTATTTTACTGCTATTTTTTATTCTCGGTTCTTATTTGAGTCACCTCTAATCTTTTGTGGAAGCAAGATAGAAATAAATAAAAATAATAATCCATTATGAGTAAATGAGCTTTCCATTTCAAATTCATTTTCTTAGTCCATTCCTTTTCATCTCAGGAAAAGACTACATGTTTCAGCTCAATGCCATCCTAGTGGAAGTTCAGGTGCCCTGTGAAGTTCTGTGGCAACTAGCTTGTCGAAGTCAGCAGATAACTTATTCCATCCTTGGGATCTTGGCTCGTGGATACCGTTTTACTACCATGAGGGCTAAATCCAAGCTGCTCTGCCATTGAATGGGGGTGTCCTGTGTCATAGCTTAGGAACCTGACTGAGGAAAAACTACTTTTTGGGTTTTCAGAGATGCATGTAGCATTCCTAAGACATATGATTATGGGGAAATTGGTATAATTTTTATCATTTTGAAGTTTGACGTAGTAGAAAAAATATAGCTTTAGAGCTGAAGAGACCTAAGTTTTAGTATATTCATTAGCTTGTGAATCTTGGGCAAGTTAATTAATAACTGAGTCTCAGCTTCCTCATCTGCGAAACAGGAATAATGTTATTGCTAGTTTATAGGATCTCTGTAATATATTATAAAAAGCCAGTGGCCCTAACACCATAACGACCAAACAACCAGTCACCATTAAGTGCATGGAGCATCTCTCAGTCCCTCCCCCGTGGCCCACAGGCTCCGATCACAGCAAGATGGTGGGTGGTGGGCGGGCCGGCAGCAGGCGGGTGGGGCGTGGTGAGGTGGGCTTGGTGAGACGCTTATGGGTGGGTGGGGCCACGCGATTTTGCGTGCTGGGCTTCTAGTGCTTAAATAAGACAGTTTTCTATAGACCACATAGCACAGAAAAAGGAGTGAAAGTTCAGTACCTTTTACGCATTGGCCTCAAGCCCACTCCATTCTCTTTTACTTAAGAGAACTCATTTCTAAGAAGCTGCCTCCCCTTGAGTATGTTTTTAGTAAATCTCTTTAATTTTCTGGATATAGTGACATAGACTTTCTGGTCCTTTGACCAGGATTACTAATACCAAATATGTGTGCTTTTCCCCAGCTATCTCTTAAATCCCTACACGATCTTATCTTGTGTTGCCAAGTCTACCTGCGCCATCAACAATACCCTCATTGCTTTCTTCATTTTGACCACGATAAAAGGTAAGACACCCAGAAAGTACAAGCCCTGATTTTTGTAGGGTGTTGTAACACATTGTGGATTTTTTAAAAATACAATGCAACACTTAAAAAAAATTTTTTTTTAATTACACAAGTATGAGTGGATAAAAAAGCTGTGGTACCTTTACAATAGAATACTACTCAGCTATTTAAAAAAAAAAAAAAAAAAAAAAGGAAATCTTACCTTTTGGGATACTGTGGATGGACCTGGCAGAGAAAAACAAATACCATATGATTTCACTTATATGTGGAGTCTAAAGAACAAAATAAATTAACAAACAACCCATAGATACTTAAAGCAGACTGACAGCTGTCAGAGGGGAGGAGGGTTGGGGGACTGGGTGGAAAAGATGAAGGCATTAAGCGAAATGAAAACAAAAACGGACATTATGGTGACTGCCAGAGGGAAAGAGGGGTGGGGGCGGTGGAAGAGGGCAAAGGGAGAATAAGTGGTGTGGAAAGAGACTTGACTTTGAATGGTGCTTGCACAATGCAGTGTACACATGATGTGTTATAGAATTGTACACCTGAAACCTGTATGCTCTTATTAAGCAGAGTCACTCCAATAAATCCAATTAAAAAAAAGAACTACAGCCGAAACTGGTTTGGCTCAGTGGTAGAGCGTCGGTCTGCGTACTGAAAGGTCCCAGGTTCGATTCCGGTCAAGGGCATGTACATTGGTTGCGGGCACATCCCCGGTAGGGGGTGTGCAAGAGGCAGCTGGTCGATGTTCTCTCTCATCGACGTTTCTAACTCTCTCTCCCTCTACCTCTCTGTAAAAAATCAATAAAATATATTAAAAAAAAAAAAAACTTAAAAAAAAAAAAAAGAACTAAAAAGAAAATTACAGCCGAAACCGGTTTGGCTCAGTGGATAGAGCGTCGGCCTGCGGACTGAAGGGTCCCAGGTTCAATTCTGGTCAGGGGCATGTACCTTGGTAGCAGGCACATCCCCAGAGGGGGTTGGGGGGTGTGCAGGAAGCGGCTGATTGATGTTTCTGTCTCATTGATGTTTCTAACTCTCTCTCTCTCTTCCTCTCTGTAAAAAAATCAATAAAATATATTTTAAAAAATTTAAAAAAATACAGCTCACTGGTGTGCCTCAGTGGATGAGTGTCAACCTGTGAAGTAGGAGGTCACAGTTTGATTCCTGGTCAGGAAACACGCCCAGGTTTTGGGCTCACTCCCCAGGCGGGACATGCAGGAGGCAGCCCATCAATGTTTCTCTTTCATCAGTGTTTATGTCTAAGCCAAAATAAAGATTTATTTAAACATCTTGAGCCCTGGCCCAGCTGGTGGCTCATTAGATTGAGCATCATCCCATGGACTAAGAGGCCCTTGGTTTGGTCCCGAATAGGGGGCATGCAGGAGCTAGCCAATCAGCAAATCTTCCTCGTCATTAATATTTCTATCTCTCTCTCCCTCTCCCTTCTTCTCTGAAATCAATAAAAATATATTTAAAACAATAAAACAAAACATCTCGAGCCCTGGCCTGTGTAGCTCAGTTGGGCGTTGTCGTGTGCACCAAAAGGTTGCTGGTTCAATGGATGTTACACTCTCACATCGATGTTTCTCTCTCTCTTTAAAAGTCAAAAACAGTTCTTTAAAATTTTTCTCAAAATTCTATCATTCAGAGAGTTACTGTTAAGATTAGAAAAAAATATTTTCTAAATGGCTTATAATTTTCTAAATGATATGGCAGCCCCTCTGCCTCTCTCTTCTTACCTGTAGTTCAGCTTGTTCATAGCATTTCTCCTGGCTTTTGCTAGTGTTTACTTCCATATTTCTAAAGACTTCATATTGCTATTTAATGAATTACAAATTTTAGACATCAATTCTATTCTCAGAGAAGATAAAGATTTAGCTTTTTGTACCAATATCTCCACTTTCCCTTTACCTCATTTTATTCAAGGAGTTATGCCACAATTTTGATTAAATCAGTAATTGGTACCTGTATTCTATGACACTGTATATATTATTTACTACTGGGCAAAATAGCAACTAAGATTACTTTTTCCTTCTTATACAATCTTTTATGTTTCCTGTGGTCAATAATTCTTTTTTCCTCCTCCAGTTGCTTCGCTAGATCTGTCAAGTGCCTAAAAATAGTTTTTAAAAATGCTAAAAGAGCCAAAACAGGTTTGGCTCAGTGGTAGAGCGTCGGTCTGCGGACTGAAGGGTCCCGGGTTCAATTCGAGTCAAGGGCATGTACGTTGGTTGCGGGCATATCCCCAGTAGGGGGTGTACAAGAGGCAGCTGGTGATATTTCTCTCTCATTGATGTTTCTGGCTCTCTATCTCTCTCCCTTCCTCTCTGTAAAATATCAATAAAATATATATATATTTTTAAAAATGCTTAAACTTCAAATAGTCTATCGGTGCTATTATTTTTCTGGAGCCCTCCCTCACGCATCCTCCATTTTGCCCCTAGCTGACCTGGTTGTTGCCCAGGCCTGGTGCAAAGCTGCTATTGTGGGACTTTTCTTTATAATTCTCATAATTCTCCTGCATTGTATTCCTTATTTCCTGGATTTCTTCTCTCCTTTATTGATTTTTTTCTCTTTGTTTTGCTAAGTAGTTTCTCGAGTAGTTTTCTAAGAAAGGGTGTATTAAATACATATCTTGAGTCATTTTATGTCTGAAAAATGTTTTTGCTCTAGTTCAGCACCAAATTAATAGTTGGGGCAGAGTAGACAGTTCTAGATTGGAACAACTTTTCCTTAAGAATTTTGAAGGCATTGCTTTTCTGTCCTCTAGAATCATGGTTGTTATTGAGCTGTTGACAGCCATTATATTTTCTTTTCTGAAAGATTTAAGAACTTTTTTTTTATCCTTAGTGTTTTGAAATTTCATGATGCTATATCTTGACATAGTCTTTCTTAATTCATCATACTAGGCAATTGGTATGTCCTTTCAATGTAGAGACTAGTATCCTTAAGTTCCAGAAGGTATTTCTATATTATTTTTCAAATTCTCTGTTTTCTCTGTTCGCTTATTTGTTCTATTAGATATTGGACGTTCTTGATTAATTTAATTTGCATATTTTATTTTCTATTGATAGTTCCATCTTTTTTACTTTCTTTTTTTCTGGGATATTTCTTTGTTTTTATCTTCTAACTCCTCTCTTGAATTTCTAAATTTTCTAATTCATTTTTAAGTTTTTTCTTGGTCTCAGTTATTTTTTAGTAACACACACACACACACACACACACACACACACACACACACACACCCCGTTCTCATCTGTTTGGAGCATAGTCTTTTTGTCTTCTTTGTCATCCCTCCACCACTTTCTTTTTCTGTTTCTTTCAGGCTCTGTCTTTCGGGAGGATTTTCTCTCATTTATGGTGATCCTTGGCTGTCTGTTTATGTTTAAGAGTGAGGCACTCACATGATGACTTGAGACTGACTGCAGGGGCAGGACTTGTTAATGGATCATTCTCACTGTAGGGAGATTGGGCATTGGGCTGACCTTTTTGGTTGGAAGTATCCCTATATGTCATCATTTATAGGTTTTCTTTTTCTCTGACACTATTTACTGTTTCCAGAGAGGAATTTTCCAGTTTTCTTCCCAATAGTAACAGAGTTGGAGTTGCAGTGGGGTGGGGGTGGGGTGGGTTTCATGTGACCAACTATTGAAGTTGTGAGAGTAGGAACAGAGGAGGTGGCAGATTGCAACGTATGGATTTTATATAATCTCATTTCTCTTCAGCCCACACTTCTCCTCAGCCCATTAGTGCACCCTAAACCTGTGCTTCTTCAGTTAATATTCTCCAGAATTGTAGTCTCTGGATGGAGTAGAAAGTTGGAAGTTGGAGTGTACATAGTTAAGATGAGACCTGAGGTTCTGCCTGATCTGTATATAAATTTTCAGCTTGATTTTCATCTCTGTACCTTACCTCACCTTCCATAGTATCTGATGCCTTCAAGGTAGTGAATTTCTCAGAAGTTCTTTGGAGTGAGTTGCCTTTATTTTTATTGGTATTCCTCTCCGAGATCCCTGAATTGTAATTTCTTCCACATTGCTCAGTCATTTATCCTCCTTCTACCTGCTTTATGTTTCTACTATTTATTACATTTTATTTTGCTGTAATCTCCTTTCCTATTGTTTGTGGCTTAAGACTAGTTTTATTCTTTTATCGTCATTTTAAGTGAATTTTTTGGAGAGATGATACACATGAGACCAATCTACCATTTTTTTACTGGAAGTCTGTTAGCTTTGGGGTATATATCTCCATATTTTTTCTATCCATTTTTCTTTCAAACTTTTAAATATTGTATCTATTAACTATCACCTCAAAAATGTTATTCAACAAACCACTTCAAATCTCAGTGGCTTAGAGCAACAATAAGCAGTAGCTTCTATGTCTGTAAGTCAACATGGGTCCTCTAATCTGGGTTGGACGTGGCGAGGCTGTTTGTTGGTTTCATCAGGGCTCATTCCTGCATCAGTAGTTAGGTGTAGTTGGTTAAACTAGACTGAACTCTTCTCCACATGTATGTTATCTTCCAGGGGACTAATTTAGGTGTGTTCTTTAAAAAAAAAAAAAATTACCTTTATTGTTGAAAGTAGGTATGTTCTTGTCATAGTGATAGCAGAGGCACAACTGTGAGCAAGCCCAGTCAGGCATACACTTTTTATGTTTCTTGTTGCATCACAGCAATCAAAACATGACACATGGCTGAGCCCATGGGTGGAGACTTCCATCCTGCCCACAATGGAAGGGCACTGCAAAGTTACATGGTAAACGGCCTGGACATAGAAAGGGGTGTAGAATCTGTGCCAAAAATACAACCTACCATACATTTCAAGAAACATACATGTCAAGAAACATCTTTTAATGGCTATATATTATTCCACTAGAGGCCCGATGTTCAAAGATTCATGCAAGAATGGGCCTTCTTCCCCTGGCTGCCGGCATTGCCTTTGCTCCAGCCCAGACCCACCTTTCTGCCCGTACTCGAGCCTGAAGCCGCCTTTCCA